TTTCTTGTATTGATAGATATTTAAAGGTCAGGTCAGTACTAACTTTTGAATTATGGACTTTTAGAAGTCAAATGTNTGGGACGTGAATCTACTGATTAGATTGAATAGGTATTGCTAATAAAGGAACATTTCATTGATTTATTGATTATAACGGTCAAATTGAGTTGAATGGAAGTGATTCTTATGTTGATTGATCGTGGAATGGTAGTTTCGCCACGTAGTGGTGCAACTACCAACCTTTGTAGATTGAATCTGGTTGATTTGCAATATGAATAAGTAACATTATCAATATTGATTATTCACCAATTCAATAATCAATATTCAATAATCGGTTTGATTTTCAATCAATAACTTGATCATCAAGCTTTGAATTAATATTCCAGTAATCAACGGCAGTCTATTTTTAAATTTAATCAAAGACCATATATAGTAGCTTGACTTTTATGATATGGAAACTATCTAGATGTGTTTCTATATTGAATAATCTATTTGAAAATGAGAAGAATTGACTTCTATTGAGTTTTAATGGTATTGAATAGTATTACGATTTATAATAATCTACACAGAAATCACTCTTGAAATATAAACTGTACTACAATGTATGAGAAACATAATGGTGGTGGAATTAATCAATAAATCGTTGAAATGACTGAGATGGAATGTAAACTATGGTTCAAATGTCATGTATTTGTAACTAAACAGTGTCAACTCCGCCAAAGTGCTTTAAACTAGATTGGTATAATCAAAAACACTTCTAGACATCGCATATGCCATAAAGAACTAATTTCAATATTTGATATTATGAACTGACTCTGCTGGATACCATCTCTATAAACATAGCTAGATGAAAAGTGTCAATATTCAATTTCACATATATGGTACTATGGAGAGTCGTCATACCATCATCTAAATAGGTAGTATTTCAAGGTTCAGTGGAATTGACAGTCTAGATATTGAGATGTGTATACTAAGGTTGAAGAAGTGTCACCTTCACTGATTACTGACATGAATATAATAATTGAATATTATAAATAATTCATTATTCAATGATTTTGATATGATGGTAAAATTTAATTTTGGAAATAAGATTCTTCCCTATTGATTACCTTAGATGTTCCTTAGTTGACTTGAAGATACTGAGCCATCAATGTGAAACTTTCTCATATTGTTCTCCTCATGAAGGGAAGTGTATTCATATTTGACACTAGTGTGATATTTTGTAAAATGACTGAGATGGTTTACATTCTATATGTTGAACTCTGACAATTTGACAGATTGTTATTATTATCATATTGAATTCAATTCTAACACTATAAAATTGATATCAGATGTATAATAGTGTGATTAAAGGTATTTGGTAAAGTTACAGAATGATTGGATGTACTTTCACTGAGATAGAGTGTACACTTGAATATATTCACTTATGACATTGAACATGTTCCGATTAGCTGAATGAAAGTATCACGAATTGTTTCTAAACATATATAGATGTATTAAATTGATGTATAGAATGTGTGTTATCAGTTCCAGACTAATTTCATATAAAATGAGCGAGTTGGAGCATAATCTTTGATTTTATATCAAATGTCTATAGTATTGTGATAGAGTTGACAAGTCGACATCTGCTGAACCAATATTCATGAAATTGATACCATATACTAATTAGAGTGTCTACATGTCATGAAATCAATTTCAGTGAAA